CGATACTTGCAGCACTCCGTGAACACAATGAACTCAGTTCCCATGAGCAGGTCACGATACTTATGTGTTACAGCCCAGTACAAGGCAAGCAGTTCTAACTTCATACTAGAATAGTTGTGCATGCTCCGCTCACATGGCCTCATTGCTCTGCTCGCACACCCCAAGACAACTAGCCTGTTCTCTTGTTGTTGGGAAAGAACTGCTCTAGGGCCACTAAAACTGGCGTCAGTCTCCAAAATAAACCCACAGGAGAAGTCTGGGAACCTCAACACTGGCACATCTGTAATAATCAGTCAAGATATTCGAAGAAAAAAATAGTCTTCAAGCCTTCAAGAAAGCCATCAGGAGAATTACCATTACGAACCTTTTAGATGGGTCATGCAAATGCAATGCCTGTATTACATAATAGCTTCTTATTAACTAAATTTTATATGCTTCTGATTGATACATTTTGCTGTGTATGATTGTCTGTTTATCTCTGATTTTATATTTTATTGTATATATTTCTAGGAATATCATTTAAAAATATTGTAGATAGAAAATTTTTTTTGTGTGTCCCCAATTAGCTTGGTAACTAAATCTCTTGACACATTAAGAAAGTATTCTCTCTCTCTCTCTCGCATCTGTGAGCATCAGTTTCAACTTGACAAAAGCCACTTCACACAATGAATCCCATTTGTCCCTGATACTACCATTACCCTTGGGATTCGTTCCTCTCATGACTTTCTTCCCTTTCTTTCCACTTCCCTGCCCTTGGAGTAGGCACTAAAGAGGACTAGCAACCTCAGCATATCCTTTCAGGAACTTTTGGTAGTAACCTGATAAACCAAGAAACCCACAGAGATCACATAGTGACTCTGGCCTCTGCCACTACAAAACTGCCCTTACTTTCTCAGGATTGGGGGGAGGTTCCTTCACATGTAACCACATGACCTAGGTAGNCTCAAAGTACACTAGCAGGATCTGGAAGTTAAGGTCTCCAAATGCCTTGTCCATCAGTCGCATGAACGTGCCTGGTGCGTTACACAGTCCGAAAGGCATTCTTGTACATTTGTACAGCCCTCCGGTTCCAGCTCTGAAAGTGGTTTCCTCAATGTCAGACTCCCTCAGGGGTATCTGGTTGAAACCATGGGCAAGGTCAAGAATACAGAAATACTCAGTTCCCTTGAGGACATCAAGAGCTTCATCAATGCAGGGTAATGGGTATGCATCCTTGTGTGTCTTAGCATTGAGGAGGCGATAGTCCACACACAGCTGTAGCTTGCCATCTTTCTTTCTCACGAGAACTATCAGGGATGCATAAGGGCTGGAACTATGAGGGAAGCATAAGGGATGCATAAGGGCTAATTATTCCTTGCTCCAGTGATTTCTGGATGTACTCTCTCACTTCTTGCCACTGATGTGGGGTACTCACCAGTGCGGGATCTTTATTGGCCTCTCATCTGTTACTATTTTGTGCTCCACCAAGTTACAGAATCGTAGATCATCATCATCCTTGCTGAAGGTAGACTGGTACCTCCCAATGACCTGTTGCAGGCCGCCATGGTGGGGTCTGTCAGGTCGCCCATGTCCATCCTATTTAGAATAACATCAACCGCATCATTCTGCCTCACCACATCAGTTGACACTGTTTCACATACATGCACATGGCCCAACTCAAAGGTTGGCTCCAGTCGAAAAGTGGACACGGCAGCAACTGGGTCCTTGGGTTTAGGTATACATCATTTGTGCTGAAATTAGCCACCTGGATGGGTATCCTTCCTTTACTACCCACAGTGACCACTACTGCACCAACAGTCATTCCATGGGGTAGTTCTGCTAAGCTTGCTTCTCTCTCAACCAGGCCATTACACGGGTGACTTGCAGCCGGTTTGATGGATCCCTCCAACACTCTTACAGTTCATGCTGGGATCAGGGCTGGGCCTGGCCCAACCAGGTGCACCTGTCCCCTGTCGATAACGGTGTTCGCCACCGCTTCCTGGCTCAAAACTGATGGCCTATATATCTGTAACGCATGAAGAAGCGTAACTTCACTGTCCGTAACTGACTTAGATGAGAGTAACTCTGCAAAGTTTCCTCCATACTTTTTCACTAGACTTTTACGCATGTCCCTTAGAAAATTGGACCCAAGAATACCTGGTACTCTCTTCTTGTTAGCTTGAATTGGGATCGACACTGGATCTTTAACTATTAAGAATCCCAATCCCTCAAACTCATGGAAAAAAACAGTTAACTGGAGTTCCACATAGCCAACATATGGGATTTCCAATCCCTGAGAAGCTGATATCCTGATGTAGGATGTCACGTCAGTCACCTCCCTACGCTGAGCCAAGAACTCCTCGTAGAAACTTTCCGTGATAGTCAACACTTCTGCACCAGTGTCAATGAGACATCCCACATCAAGAGTCATGGAAGACTGCAAGGCCCTGGCTGAAATTTGACAAGAAAGAAAACGCTATGTTTTGTAGTTGTTGCAGACAGTTTGTCCTACCAGTTCTGTTGTTTATTCAGAGGCTTACGCTTTTTTCCTCAGCAATTGACAGGTGTCACATCATGACATTTATTTGTCAAAAAATGTTTCAAAGTTTGCTTGGAAGCCTTTCAAGTTACCTTTACAAATAAAAATGTTTCGGTGAAAGCTTTCTCTTTAAGTTGGATAACGTCTGTTTCCTTTGTCATCCACTTGCCAACCAATTGTTAAGTTAATGGAGGATTTCCCCATAATTAAACTCATAATTGTAGCCCTAAATCATTTGGGTTCTTATGGCAATAATTTTTTTGTGTTAGAAAAAAAAATAAAAATGTTATTGACCAGCGTAGGTTGGTCTGTATTGGGAAAAAATGTTCCCTTTGTCTTGAGTACCGCCCGGGGCCATAGGCCTCGGGGGGTATGCAAGACCTTGGGTACAGTTTTTTCTCAATATGGACCTCTGGCTGGTTAATAATTAACAAGTTATCATGAAGGGCTATTTTGAGGGTTAAATCAGGGCCCATCACTTTTCTTTATTTCCTTTTGATATAATTGCCTAATTTTTGGTACAATTAAGCATTATCAAATGAACTGCAACCCTATTGAGAGTTATTACTTTTTGACCATTTTAGTTGTCATGGTGACCGATTAGCCTTTGCGAAAGACAAATCGCTTATAAAACCAGTTGTATTTCAGAAAAAGAAATTTTGCTCGATTAGGTTGCAGATAATTACAGAAACAACCTCTGTACCAAATTTGGTGTCAATAGCTGAAATACTATTTGAAGAAAAAGGAGGCTAACAAAATTACCCCAGAAAGCCATTTTCAGAAAAATGCAATTGAAACATCACTTCTATCTAAATGTCTCTCGTAAGACTAATGACCCTCTAAAATGGCCTTTTATTTATCTCAGCACACCTCCTTGAAGGTATCCTTAGGTGCCTTTGTTCTTTCCCTTTTTGCATGCTCTGCACACCTGTGTTTCGTTGAAACCTCCAGCCCTATAGGTTATGCCTCCCTTGGTTACAGGCAGGTCTTCTTCGCTCTGCTTCGCTTGTTTTCTTGCAAGTCTATATTGTTTGTGTTTTTCTTGAGCTCTGTGCTCTGCTTGCTTAATTCTTCCTTTGTCTCTCCGTCTTGCTTCCTTCCAACTGTGCTTGCCAGGTGAGGTTTCAGCTTTCCTCATGACATCAAACTTTTTTGTTGCACCACAACTGAAGTGCAAAGTGCCAGAGGAAGTGGCCATGACAATTCCCTTTCTTCCATGGAAGTTGTTCCAAGGAAATATGCACTGATAGACTTGTTTGCATTCTGGGTGGATCTAGGCAAGCACCTGATGAGGAGTGCTGGCTAACTCAAACGATCATAGATTTTCTTTTCTTGAAAACACTATCCAAGTGATGTGGCTTGTTTGGACAAGACAATCTTTTTTTGAACTTGCATCATGAATTAATTGGGCAGTATTTGTGCCTTTCTTGGTTTGAAATTTTTAGTCAGTGATACAAGCCAGCTTTGATCTCCTCTTGCATCTTTTTTACTACACTATCTCTCTCACTTGTCAAAGCTATGTTTTTTGTTTACATTGTCATGCACAGCTTTTCCATTATGTTTTTTTCAGTTTTTTCAATAGCTTTCTCAGTTAGTTGGCCATCTCTGCCTTTCATTGGTTTGTCATCAGGTAGCTTAACAGAGGACCTTTGAAACTCATAAGGGGCCTTTCGAAGCCTTTTTTGGACATCCCAATACTGTCCAATTTTATAACTCTCTCACACTCTGCTTTTCCCTGAAGATGGTCTTCGTCCCATGTCGTGTGCTCTTGGGAGTTTTTCCATGCAATGAGTTCTTTGTAAAATTGTTCCATTACCTCATACTTGTTACAATTGTCACATGCACCATACACATTCCATATAGCCTTGCATGATTTTGAGTCACCATCGTAAATCATCTATTTGTACCTGACATGATTGTCGTCACGCCGCTCCCAAAGCCTCTTCGCACATTACATTTCCATGCAAGGGCTGGATCCTTTGTAGGAACCTTCACAGATATGGTCTTGGTACCAGTCATTGAAACCAGCCTCATCAAGTTTTACCTTCATTTGAGTACATTGTTGACACACTTTAGAAATTACTTCAAAATCCAGGACCTTTCCAGTAGCTGCAAATATCACAAACACAACACAGTGGTTGGCAGTGTAGCCACACTGTGACCATGTACTATCGAAACTTACGGGAATATCTACAGTAGTAACATCATCATCATCATTATCATCATCAATACCTTCCTCAAGCATGGCAAGCTTTGTGGCTTCTGGCTTTTGTAGCTGTACACTTGTTCCTTCTTGAGAGGCTTGATTAAGGGTCTCTTCATGGCTGTACTAGGTGTCAGGGAGTCTCCCCGCAGCTGTGATGTTTCGGTCACGCAACGCTCACTCACAGACACGGTTGCTTCAAGCAGCACCACATTCCGTTAGCTAATCAGAGCGCGACTCTAGAAATCCAGAAGGCATTCCACCTTCTGGAAATTCAACATGGCAGCTGTTGAAGAGGCGCTCAAAGGTGTTTGCAAAAAATACAGATTTCAAGAGCTAAATGCTTATCAAAAGGTTGCAATCAAAACATTTATGCAGGGTAGAGATATTTTTGTGAATTTGCCGAAGGGCTATGGCAAATCGCTGATATTCCAAGCTCTGGCAACGATGTTTGACATGGTAATGGCTTGTCAGGGGAGTATTGTTGTTGCTTCACTCCTATCAGGGGCTAACGCTCGAAACATCAGCTTTTGTAATCGTTACGGTGGCGAATTTACCATTTTAACTTTGTTGATATATCCAAATTATATTGTTGTTGTTGTCTGCCCGCTTCTTAATCTAAGCAAGGATCAAGTTGCCTCTTTGAATAGTCTGGGTATTTCTGCAATAAACATAAGTGATGTTGAAAGTGAAGGAGATCAGAGAGACGTAGAAGCTGGAAAATATTCTCTTGTGTATGGGACACCTGAATCCTGGCTCGATAACGATCGTTGGAGATCAATGTTTTCTAATAAAGTATACTCCGAAAAGCTGTGTGCTATCATAGTGGATGAAGCCCATGTGATAAGGCAATGGTAAGTCATTTGTATTTGGAAAATAGCTGACTAATTTTTAAAGTAGTTAGCTGGTGACTTCGGTCAAAATTTAACGTATTGTCCCTAAAAATATACTCTTAAACTGAATTACTCAAAATGAGCTCAAATTTCTAATTTTAATTCGTCCTGAGATGAGAATAGACTCACTAAACTTGTGGCTTAATTCTAGAAAATGCTTGCATGGTATACATTGCTCATATGTCAGCACAGTTATTTCTCTAAAATAACTATGGTATGTATGCAATNCTCACCTCACATTTACTGTCACTCCCTTTTCAATGAATTTGTCAGGAAGGTTTACCACTTCCTAAGGTTCTTCAGATCAATTATTTGCTTCATAAGACAATCAGTTGACTTGAAGTTGACGCATTAAACCTTTAGAGAGGTTTAACAATTGTTCGTGAAGTTTTATCCTTTGATAATAATAATATTTAATACTTATATTGCGCTTTTTCTATAAAAATACTCAAAAGCGCATTACAATATTAATTATTAAACCCGGTAAAATTACAATATTTACAGTATAAAAATTTCCAGAGTAATTAGTAAAACATGGAATTTTTTAAAAATCACAATATTAAATTAAATGAATAAATAATCTAAAAGCCTTTTTAAATAAATATGTTTTAACAGAGCGTTTGAAGGAGTTGATTGATGTTTCCTGTCTTATTGGCAGAGGAAGACTGTTTCATAAGATGGGGGCAGCTATTGAAAACACGCGATCTCCCATAGTCTTCTTCGTTCTTAGCCGAGGTCTTTCTAACAATATATCATTGTTACGGTATAGTTGATACTGTGAGTCCGGCAAGACAGAGATCAACTAGGTCCTGAAGAAGTTAAATACTACTAAGTTATGCTAATTCCTTTGTTCCCTTTTGTGTAATCAACACCATTTAGTAGTTTTACTAGTATTTTTTTCACAAATTAAGCATGTTCACTCTATTATGAGTTCATTGGTACAAGTGATATTGGAGATGTTTGGAATTAGCATCCTAATAGGATGATATGCTTCTTAAAACTTTTTTAATCCAATAACAAAAAGGTATATAATTTTCTATGGTCAAAAAACATAACATAATGAAATGGAACAATACAACATTCATAGTGCAGTAATTATTGATGATTGCTTAACATGTTTTTCAATGCATCCATTTTTTCACATTATAGAAACTTAATGTTCATAAGAAGCCTCCTCTGTAGTTTTCTTTCTGACTATGAGATGAGAAAGGTATGGTCAGACAAACCTGTATTGCTTATCAATGTATTAGTGACTGTATGCCTGTGGAAATGCAGTTGCACAGGGATACCAACAAAGGAAAAAAGAGATTTTAATCTGCCTGCTTAGGAGGCTAGTTCCTACCTTATAACAGTATCATCGTTGTTATTATAACTATAATTATGTTCTACAGAGTGCTGTTGATATAGTGCTTTTTATAATCAATTTATCATTGTAAAGGATTGTTTTTATCTGAGTTCCTCTTGCTCACATTCCAATGCTAATGTTCTTTTTGTGCTTGTTGATCCATTTGTACATTTTAGACATGCTCAGGTTTTCAAGTCTGTTCCTCTCAAAGTCAGTATAATGATAATACGAACAGCCCTCTGCATGCTCTTTAAACACCTGTAAGTCAACCAATCTCTTAATTTCAGCTTCAATGTCATCATCTTAGGAGGTTTTACCATGTTTTATGCTTTTCTCTCTCTGCCCAAAACAAATCTACAAATGCTGCTCTTGCCTGAGCTCTGTTTACTGTTTGACATAGCTTAGCAATAACTGAGAATGATCCTTACGCAAAGGGTCAGTTCGATGGATATATTCCCTCAAATGTTGCACCACACAAAGTTCCTTGTCCTCGGAGAAGGCCAAGAGTTCTATAGGCTCTAAATGTCTTCCT